ATATGTCCTAGGAGTGGACATCCCCCAGTGATTTTCCATGAAGAGAAGACCTGAAACCAGATCTCCCAAGTCCTAGTCAGACACTTTATTCACTACACCACATTAGCTCTCACCAAAAAATAGGATAGTAGAGAAAAGTTTAGATACGCCTTGCTTGGTGGTGGCAGGAAGACAGCTTATAGAGACACAAACGTGCATGCAAGAAGCATGATGGGACAATAAGACTTTAATCTGAGTGACAACAGATCAACTGAATTCAGTTTGAGGTCAAGTCAACTTCCTAAGAATGGCAACACCACTGGACAGATTCTAGGGCTCACCACACTTTGGTCCGCAAAAATAAAGCTGTTTAGTGCTCTCAGAGGCACTAGGCAACTGAACAGAGATACCATTTTAATTTGTCACAAAGTCATCAACATAACGCAGCATTGTGATGAGTTTTGGAAAATTAAGGCAACCCCCTGCTAGGCGTTTAACTGTTGTTCAGAGTACATCTGCTGACCATCACCACTGCTTACCATGGACCATCTGCATAAAATGAGTCCCAACAGATACAGAGCGTTGTCCTGAGAGAGAGTGTTCCAGTAAGTGCTGCTTCATCTCCTAGATGCTTAGGTACCTTAGCTGCAACCCTACACATGCAACTTTGACTACAAGGGTTGCTTCCACATCAAGAGCTATAGGACTCTGATGTAAGAATGATGTGCATGGATCATTCACACTGTACTTGCTGGAAAAAATCCCAGCAATAGTATATTCCCTGATGCAGACAATTTCCCTGTGAGGTGCAAACAAGCTCTTAATGATCACCAACACATGCCAAATCAACTTTTCTTTTGGAAACCCTCCAAGGGAAGGAAAATCAGTCTGCTTTTCCCTTTGCAGGAATGCTTCAGAAGTTATGAACAGTTTTCTGATGATCCATAGACCCTCAGCTTGGATTTAGCTGCAATTATGTTACTGCCTATAAATATATGTTTGGCTAGGGACAAAGATGCTTTTTCTCCCCTCCACAAACGTGCTTATTGCCAAATAAAATATGCTCCTCAGAAGAAAAGAGCCGACACCTAAAAATGTCACCTGATATATACATCAGTTGTAGGAAACCAACAGCCTAGGACATTTCCCCCCAGCTTTTTATTCCGCTTGCCAAATGGATTATCAAGGAAGGAGTTACTGTTCCATGATACCTGTTATGTCTGAAAGTAGCTCAGGATGATATTAAGGCAATAAAAATCTGAATTACATCTCCCTCCAGAATCAACAGCTGAAATTGCCAGGAGTATTGGGGGGGGGGGAGAGAAGAGCGCTGTTGAAAGTTACTGTGATCTGCAGCTTGTTCTTAGTAGGATTTTTAGATCCTCACATGTTTCTGCATCTCAATCTGAGCCTGAAGAAAGGTCCTGTTAAATGGAAAACCTTTACTGTGCTTAATATTTCAATGGGTGTCACATGCTGTCATGTTGGAACCAAATTATAGTGACTCTAAGCAGACATTCAAGGTTGGCAAGATATTTATGGAGTTGTTTTACCAGCGCCTTCCCATGGGTGAGCACAGATTTGAACCCAAGTCATCTGATATGGAGTCCATCACTCTCTCAACCATACCACACTGGGTACCAAATAATACTATCTTTGCTTTTTGCATTTTTTTTTTCAAGGACATCATATAAGGGCCCCATCTTGTTGACATTCTGGAAAATAAATATTTAGATAACATGTGTATTAAAATATGAATTTGATGGCAATTTCCCCCTCCCAAGCCACTTCTCAACAGCTCAAGAAAAAGTGTGCCAAGTCAGTGATGCTACTGGATGCCCCCATAAGGTCTGTAAGGCCAATTTGTCCAGTCTGTATCCAAGATAAAATATAGGAATTGTCCATATAATCTAGGTTCACACAGGATTGCTAGCTCAGCAGCTTTCCTTTCTCAAAAACCACAGGGTCAAAACAGATGAAGAGGTAGGCTTGTCTGAAATAAGAAGGAATGGGTCTTTGGATAACAGTTGCATTAAACACAAGTAAAAATATTACTTTCGTGAGAAAAAAATCAACGTTTTCTTGGCCAGTAAACGGATGGGTTTGACATTTTTCACAGTATACGGTACAGAAAATCTGCTCCTCTCAATTTGTAAGCAAGAAAAAAAACCAGAAACATATAATGCATGTTTAAATTGAGTATATGCATTGATATCCTGGAATAGTATCCAGACTGGTTGTTGTGGGTTTTTCGGGCACTTTGACCGTGTTCTGAAGGTTGTTCTTCCTAATGTTTCTCCAGTCTCTGTGGCTGGCATCTTCAGAGGACAGCACTCTGTCCTCTGAAGATGTCCACAGAGTGCTGTCCTTTGAAGATGCCGGCCACAGAGACTGACGAAACATTAGGAAGAACAACCTTCAAAACATGGCCAAAGAGCCCGAAAAACCCACAACAACCATTAGATCCCAACCATGAAAGCCTTCGCGAATACAGTATCCAGACTGTTTTAGAAAGTACACAGCCATTTAAATATACCAAATAGCTTAAAAAAAAATTTTGGTCTTTTTCAGCACAGAAACAATTAGTGGGGAGGTAACAATCTGTCTTTAAAGAGTGCAAAACAATTTTAGAAATGTCAAGTGCCTTTCCCTGCTTCCTAACATATTCTGTTTGAAAATGACTAGCAAAAGGTGGTTGTTAGCAACTTTGTGTTGTGCCATGTTATTGAAAATGCACATTCTTTCCATCAGTGCTTTCCAACTCTTTTCAGCCACTTTTAATTGCATTCTGTTTTAAAATTATCGACCACAACAATTCCTACCAACAACAACAACCTGCTGTCAAGTCAGTTCTGACTTCTTCATCATAGGCATCCTTCAGTCTTAAGAGACTATGGTAACGTATTCTGTATGGAGGGCTTAGAACAGCATCTATTCAACGCTGTATGCAAAACTGGAGTGTCCTCTCCAGAGCACAAAGCCTGGGTAAAATAATATGGAGGATAGGCTGTTACCCAACAAGCAAATCTCCCCTCTCCATGTCGCTGAAATAATCCAATGGAAAGGCAAGAGCCAATACAACTGGTTACAGCAGGAGCTGATAGAATGACACGAACTGCCTCCGGGACTCCGGCTCCAGATTGTGCCTCAAGGTTAACTCCTGAAGCCTTTTCCATTAGTGGATATAGCCACAAGGCAGTGGGGGTTTGAAACCAGAGTTTTCCTTCTCCTAGATGGGCTGCCATCCAAGGCTGACGAGTCCCACCTACCTGGCCTGCTCCCTCGCTGCATGGGTGGTGGTGGCACCTCCTCTTTCACCTCACGGCATGGGGGTTTGAAATCGGGAGTTTTCCTTCTCCTAGATGGGCTGCCTTCCAAGACTAATGAGCCCCATCTATCCGGATTCTGACTTAGGGCAAGCCTTTTCACGACTTTCTAGGTAGACAGAACTCAGAAGTGGTTGACTCTTCCCTTCTTCTGCACAGGCCTTGCGCCTGTGCAGCTTGCCCAAAGCCATGCAGGGTGGTTCTCCTCTCTGGAGGTCTGTGCAGCTTGCCCAAAGCCATACAGGGTGGCTCTCCTCTTTGGAGGTACCATGGGGAATCGAACTCCCAGCCTCTGGCTCTGGAGACAAATATCTAAACCACTGAGCTATCCAGCCAGCTAACAATTCATAAGCCATATTTAAAAAAAAGAGAGAGAGAGAGAGAGATGCATAAATTTGAAACATGAGGGGAAAACTAAATACAGTGGTGCCTCGCTTAACGATGATAATCTGTTCCAGGAAAATTGCCATTAAGCGAAAACATTGTAAAGTGAAATAAAAAAACTCATTGAAACGCATTGAAACCTGTTCAATGCATTCCAGTGGGGTAAAAACTCACCGTCTAGCAAAGATCCTCCATACCACAGCTCTTTTCGCTGCCTGTATAGCGAGGAATCCATCCCTAAACACAGCAGGGCGCCATATTAATTACCCGGTGGCCATTTTGAAACTGCCAATCAGCTGTTTAAAAAGCATTGTTTCGCGAAGAATCGGTCCCCGAAACAGGGAAACGATCATCGCAAAGCAAAATTCCCCCGTTTAGACCATCGTTTCGTGATCACAATTGCAATCGCAAAAAGATCATAATAAAGTGGATTTGTTGTAATGCGGGGCAATCGTAAAGCGAGGCACCACTGTACTAAAATCAATGAACAAAGTACAGGGGTGATGGTAAAGGAGCAAATTATGACTTTCCGGGCCCTTTGTACATAAAAACTAAGGCATGATGGTGGAAGATACAAAGTGAAAGAAGAAGAGGACTGCCGCTTCCCAATTTTTAGTGGGTTCTCCCCAAAATCAGAACCTATATTATTTTTAAAATTAGATCCACAGTCTGTTTTCCTCTCTTGTAATTTATGCAGCCAGATTATGCGATGCTATTGCAACACCCACAGAATACATTTGCTTTCCTTGAAGAAAATAAGTCTGAAAATGCACATGATAAACATAAAACCTGTACGAATAAGCTGTCTTTATTATGAAAGAACTCTCCCTCAAAAGCCAGAAATATGTGTTGCAGGAGAAAGTGGCTTTCCATATGCCGTCAGACTTCTGATCCCATCCGCTCCATCCAACATGGCCAGTATAATAATGGGTGATGTAGTGCATAAATATCCCTGTTGGGCCACAAATTCCCACTCCTAATCCCTAAAATTCTTCTAGAAATGGAACCTGGGACATTCTATATTCAAACTGTGTGTTTTGTTCCAAGGCTACAGAGCCTCTCCCCACAAAAACATTATGAATCCACCTGATTTTTAGTCACTGCGCTTAACCATCAGCATTAACCAGAGTCTGGTTCCTCCCTGCCTGGGCACATTCCTTCCTATAGTATTCTTAACCAACAAGGTGTGGTCATGAGCTTGTAATTTTTATGATGCCAATCAAGACTGCCCTGTGAATAATTAAAATTACTTCATTTCCTAATTCTGGCTCTCTTTTCTGGAATACCGAAAAGCATTTTAGAAATACTCACGTAAGAGGAACCACTAGAAAACGGGCCATCTGCAACAAATCCATTCATTTTTATAAGGGCTGTAACTCCAACATCACAGAATTATTGAGTCCAAACAGAATCCAGATTGAGTAGAGAAAGGGGATTCCTCTCTAACCAGTTAGGCAAACAGGGTCCAATCATCAGCCAAAGGCATTCAAATGCAAAACAAGGAAGGAGTGAAAGAAACAGAAAAATGAGGGCAAGCAGGTTAAGTTTAACAGTAGCCAGAGGTGAAGAACCATTTCTCTTCTTAGGAAGGGTTTCTGGAAGAGAGACCATCTGCAGCTGGGCTTAACTACCCTGAAGATTTGATTGATTCTCTCCACAGGTGTTGGAGATTATAAAGGTGGTGAAACCTACAAGAATTCCATCTCCAAGAGGTGTGTAGCAGAGGAAATTTTAACCACTTCAATATGTCAAAAGGGTCTTCTTTAAAGGAGGCTTTTAAAAGATATGGAGCTCCTCTAGCTGATCCCCTAATCCACCGGAGTTTTAAAATGTTGGTTTGATATTTGTTCTTTTTTCCAAGGAGCTCAGCAGGACAAAGTTCTTTCTCTCTCTCTCTCTCCAATTGTCCCATTTAATGTTCCCAAAAAAAACATCCGAGTAACAAAGGTTAAGAACCACTGCCCTAACCCACTGGAGTTTTAAAATGTTGCTTTGATATTTGTTCTTTTTTCCAAGGAGCTCAGCAGGACAAAGCTCTCTCTCTCCAATTGTCCCATTTAGTGTTCCCAAAATCCTTGAAAAGTAGGATCGGCTGATGAACATGTCACCCAGGGGCTGGCAGAGTAGATGAGGAAATTAGATATTACGGTTGCAAATTGACTAATAAATGAGCTACTTTTTTGGAAGTTGACTAATAAGGGAAGTGATGGCCTTTATTTTACAAGCTCTAAAAAGTGCTGTTACTCAGACCTTTCTAAGGTTGTTAATTCACAGAGTCCCTGTAATTTGGAAACAATTTGGTAACAACAAGATATTGATGTTCTGGGTGGATTTCCACAGAGAGCAGGTAGTGTTTAAGGAAGCTGTTGCATTTGGGGTCCCCTGGTAAATGTGCATGATATTTGCATATAACAAAGTCAAATAAGTCAGTGGCAAAGTACAATAAATTGAAACAATAGTGTCTTGTTCTACGAAGAGCTGTAAAAATTTCCTTCATCCAATTTCAATTATGGAAAAAATATATTAACATCTGAGATGTGCTGTATAAAGCTATCCTTTATCCAGAGTTAATTGTGCTCACTGCAGTCATTCCCTAGGATCAAGGTCTTTAGAGTTTTCCATTGCTGCAAATCCTTTCTCTTCTTTGCCCCTTCGAAATCTAGTGTTTGATCCAGACACAAAAGTATGAACATGGCTTATCATTCAAAAACATGTGCCTTGGGTTCAGAAAAGACAAGACTCTTGTCTTCCCTACAGTCATGTGCCACACTTGCCAAATGGAATTTAGGTTAGGAGACATTCATTGCAACGACCAGGCTTAAACAAAAAAAGAGGTTACTTACCTATAGCTCTGTTTCTTCTAGTGGTCATCTGTGAATTCACACTAATGGGTTAATATGTAGCTGCACAGAGCAGCCTTGGAACTTTATAGAGCTTTAGCACATGGTGCCGGGACGTCCCCCCCCCAGGAACTAGAGATCAAATTGCTAACCTGCGCTGGATTATGGAGAAAGCCAAAGAGTTCCAGAAAAACAACTGCTTCTGCTTCATTTACTATGCAAAAGCCTTTGACCATGTGGACCACAGCCAACTATGGCAAGTTCTTAAAGAAATGGGAGTGCCTGACCACCTTATCTGTCTCCTGAGACATCTATATGTGGGAGAGGAAGCAACACGTAGAACTGGATATGGAACAACTGATTGGTTCAAAATTGGGAAAGGAATACGACAAGGCTGTATATTGTCTCCCTGCTTATTTAACTTATATGCAGAATACATCATGACAAAGGCTGGAGTGGAGGAATCCCAAACCGGAATTAAGATTGCCAGAAGAAATATCACAACCTCCGATATGCAGATGATACCACTCTGATGGCAGAAAGTGAGGAGGGATTAAAGAACCTCTTAATGAGGGTGAAAGAGGAGAGCACAGAAACAGCCTGAAGCCCAACATCAAAAGAACTAAGATCATGGACACTGGTCCCATCACCTCCTGGCAAATAGAAGGGGAAGATATTAACATCTGAAGATATTAACCCAGAGACCTTTGGGTAGTGTGGGCGGCATATAAAATGAATGAATGAATGAATGAATGAATGAATGAATGAATGAATGAATGAATGAATAAATAAATAAATAAATAAATAAATAAATAA